CCCCCATTGATTCCCTCCTTTCTAAATTAGCTACTGTTTGAGTTTCAGAGCGAGGTGTTCAGAGTTCCTTGACTGAAGTCCAGAGGGGGATGCTAGAGATAGCATTCCTATGATCAGGTTTCTCTGTGGAGCTGGTAGTTTAGCTTCTCCTTTCTCACTGCAAAGCAGTCTTTTCCTTCTGCCATTTCTCAGTAGTTCCTTGCTGGCTTCATATGTCCAGGGGTCCTGAGATTAAGCTACTGTTGCAATTTGTTTTTTCCTAGTAACTCACTTCTCAAAGTATCTCTCTTTTATGGCACTCTTTTGACTCTTTTTAAATCCTGTCATTATTGTCTAGTGAGACACTTAATACTATTTTTCTAGGTAATTTTTAAAATCATCCTTTGGAGAAGGAATACTGAGTGGAAAAAAGCTACTAACTTGTCACTAGAAGTTTGGAGTAGAGCATTCTAATGTCTCCATTTGCTCTTGTAGTTTTAAATTAGGCTAGGGGAATTTCAGAATGCAAGAAATTAGCTAGTAGGCAAACTTCTAGCTATAATTTTGATGAAAGAATCAAAAAGGAATGATCAGATAATTTTTAATACATCTTTTGTAAATTTTGGTTTTGATGTCAGCCTTTTATTTTTCTTCTCAGTTGCTTTAGGTCGCAATCAGCCTTTGAAAAAGGAGAAACCCAAATGGAAAAGCGATTATCCCATGACAGATGGACAGCTGCGCAGCAAGAGGGATGAGTTTTGGGATACTGCACCAGCTTTTGAAGGCCGTAAAGAGATATGGGATGCCTTGAAGGCTGCAGCACATGCTTTTGAGAGCAATGATCATGAACTGGCACAAGCGATCATTGATGGTGCAAACATTACATTACCACATGGTAGGTGATCCTCAAGGACAAAGTGGAACGCTCAGCTCATGTCTAATGGCAAGAAACCAAATGGGAAGTGTTCATTTTACTTGTTATGCATTATTCTGCCTTTTTTTTTCCTAAAAAGGAGCATTTTTCTTTGCTTCTTTGTATATCTATAGCGCCATAGGTTTACTTGATGTGTTTATATTTTTAATCTCAAGAAATAGAACTCTTGCTCACTTGTTAACCTGTATTTTCTAACTTCTATATAGCCTAGTTCTCCATCAAGGTCTCAGTCTCCTAGAGCTTCTACTTCACTGGTTTCCTACCAGCACTAAAGTGTTAGTCTCACATTTAGATCTCAGAAGACGTAGAGACTCTGTGATGCTCCTTTAGTCATTATACTTTCTCATCAAGCCTAATTTTAGGATAAACTTAGAATTGAGTCTCACATCCTAAGGACAGTTTTCTATGATTGTAGCTCTGAACATTATTAGAAACCTTTCTTCTTTGCTTAGGAATGTGAAAGCTTTGAATGTTTCCAGGGACACATATATGCTGGACCTGTGACTATCCTCTTGCTTGGTCTCCTTGATTAGACACACACAAAAAAATTTCACGCTACACTGAGAGTTAGGTGGTAATTTTGTATTATTTGTTTTTTTTATTGCTATATTTATAAATTTATTTTTCTCTTCAGTGTTACAAGTTAATGTTTTTCTAAGTTGTCTCCTTAGCCCCCTATATATATTCACCTGTGCACAGTTTTCTATTCATTATTATACCTTTATTGTTCCTTTTTCATTACCTTCCTTTATTTGTCTACATTTTCAGAGGAACAATGCCTTTCACTGTTTAATCATCTGCTTTACATCCTTTGACTCTTTTTCAAATAAAAGGTTTTTAACTTAGTGTCTTTCCCAGTTTTCTAAATCTTCATTAATTTTCCGAATGAACTGTGCTTCCAGGAAAATTTTTGCCCCCGCTGGTTTGGCTCAGTTGGTTCGGTGTTGTCCCATGCACCAAAAGGTTGCTGGTTTGATTCCCAAGTCAGGACACATGCCCGGGTTATGGGCTCGATTCCTGGTAGGGTGCATGCAGGAGGCAGCCAATCAAAGTTTCACTGTCACATTGATGTTTCTCTTTCTCCCTCTCCCTTACTCTCTAAAAATCAATAAAGCCTGGCTGGGCGTGGCTCAGCGGTTGAGCTTCGACCTAAGATCCAGGCGATTGGGGTTCGATTCCTGGTCAGGGCACATGCCCGGGTTGTGGGCTCGATCAATGACTCTCTCACCATTGATGTTTCTATCTCTTTCTCCCCCTCTCCTTTCCTCTCTCTGAAATCAATAAAGATATATTTTAAGAAATAATAAAATAAAAATCAATAAAGTTTTTTTTTTTTAAAGAAACTTTAAAAACATATGTATTTTATAGCTATCCTGTTTTTTATTATGAAAGCTTATTAGTATGGGCTTGTGTTAATAACATTTACTGAACACCCACTGTATATAGATCACTGTTTCTACACAGGTGTAAAAATAAAAATGATCCCTTCTACATAGAAAAATTTATAATAGAATGCTATTTCAGTATGACTCTAGTCGCTATTTTTATAGATAGTCTGAATTCTTTACCTCTTATATGATTGAGTGTGGACATCATGTTGCTCCATTACCTTTTAGAGTTCTATAATTTGTCTTGAAATACTACCTTTATATAGTGTAAAGGGAAGGGCCTTCCTTTACAAATAACATTTTTTTAAATATACTTTTTATTGATTATTCTTAGAGAGGAAGGAGGGGAGAGAGAAACATTGATTGGCTGCCTCCTGCATGCCCCCAGTAGGGATCAGGGATCAAGCCTGCAACCCAGGCATGTGCCCAGACTGGGAATTGAACCGGTGACCTCTTGGTGTATGGGACGACGCTCAACCACTGAGCCACATTAGCTGGTGCTCCTTCCTATCTTTTTAAACAGAATAATTCATGCCACCAGATTTCAGTCCCCGAAATGCTTTGATCTTTGTCATAAACAAATTGGGAACTGTTAGCAAAAGATGGAAAAGAGATAGCCCTGGCCTGTTTGGCTCAGTGGTTAGAGTGTAAGCCACACCAGCCAGGCACAAGTAGTTTTATCATCCTCTTTTTAATGCCTATATCCTGTATTTTTAAAACAGAATATATTTGCCTTGCCGGCTTGGTTCAGCAGTTTAGCATGGACCTATGATCCAGGAGATTGCAGTTTGATTCCGGGTCTGGGCATATGCCTGGGCTGTGGGCTCGATCCCCAGTAGGGGGTGTGCAGGCGGCAGCTGCTAAATGACACTCTCATCGTTGATGTTTCTATCTCTCCCTCTCCCTTTCCCTGAAATCAATAAAGACATATTTTAAAAGACTTAAAATAAAACAGAATATATTTGTCTTTGTATAGGCCTGCAAGTAGGGGTGGGGTGGGGGGTGGGGAAGAATTGTTGTTTACCTGTGATTGTCTTAATATAGAAGCCTGAGATCCAGAACCTTGTAACTTTGACTTCCTTTCTTTGTACTTATTATAGTTACCTATTGGAAGATCTGATTATGTTCTTTAAATTGAGGCCTTGTTTACAAGTTTGTGGAGGCAAAGTAGCTCTGTTCCATGTAAGGCAGGGGCCCATGCATATCCTGTTTGATAGGGTCTCAGATCTCTAAAGACTCCAGGCCCTCATTTCTGCTTATCCATGTGAACTGCCAAGAAAAGTAATATTGCTGCCAGCCCCACCAACTAGCAGATTAGGGAGACTTATTCTTGGAAATTTGAGAACATTGGATGAGCCTCTATTCCCCCTCTATGTTTAAGGAATATATTCTACTTTAGCATGAAAGAATTAGACTGATGTCTAAACTTTCCTCTTTCAAAGCCTTATAATAACTTTCTGGGTATTGATATTATTGTTATTGGTACCCTTGATTGAATTCTCTTGTTGTTCATATGTGAAACTTACCAGTAATATTTCTTAAGTGGGCTTTTGAATTATATTCTCTCATCCACCCTAACTCACCATCAGTTTATAACAACTATTTAGTTACATGCTTTTACTTAGACCTACTCAGTGATATTGCTGAAACCCCCTTCATCTTTTTGGTGTAATTACGTATTTGAAATTTTACTTTGGACACATTTTGTTGTGTTACACCCTAAACATTCTAAAGTACTTAGTAATTTGAATTTAAAATATTGCATAAACTTTAGCTATTGTTTAGCTCAGGCTCTGGTATCAGTCCTAGCCTTAACTTCCTGCCTCTACTATATTTCTTACAGCTCTGTGGCTTTAGACAAGTCGCTTTTCTATAAGCTTCAGTTCTCTCATTTGTAAAGTATAGATCATAACCACCTACCTCATAAGGTGGTTGTACTGATTAAATGTGATAATAACGCATGGAAATTGCTTACCATAGTCCAAAAGCACTTAATAAATAGTAGTGCTTGTATGATTGTATTTCTTGAACTTGGACATTAACAAGTAAATTCCTTGCACCAAAATCTTTAATTATAGATTTTGATAATTTTGTGGATGTATTATGTACTGGAAACGTATTTTTTTGGCTTTTAGGGGTCTCTGCCTTGAACATATGTATGCTTAATGAGATTTTGAGATTATGTTGATTCAGTAACAACAATAGTATTAATTAGACACCAAAACAGTAAGGACATAGTTTAACATCATCCCATACCTTTGCCATGCCTATCACTTTACTCTACATCTGTTTTTATTGAACTGATCATAGATTGACAATCTGAAGAGATCCTGGGACATAACACTCCTTTCTCTCTTTTTTAAATTTTTTTATTAATCTTCATCCAAGGACATGCTTAGAGAGAGAGACATCCATCTTTGCCTTTTGTATGCTCCCCAACCGGGGATCAAACCTGCAACCCAGGTATGTGCCCTGACCAGGAATTGAACTGGCAACCTTTTGATACAGGGGAGGACGCCCAAACAACTGAGCCACTCCGGCCAGGGCAAGCTCAACTTTTTTTTTTTTTTTTTTTTTTTTTAGGTTAAGTCTGTGCTTTTATTAGCTACTTCAGAGGGATGAAGCGGGAGGAGTAGGTGGCTCCGATGCCAGGCCGGCCATGCTTCACCGGCTTGTAGGTGATGGAGAACTCATCCAAGTAGTTGCCAGTCATCTCAGGCCTGATTTCCACCTGGTTGAAGGTCTTGCTGTTGTATACGCCCACCATGCTGCCCACCATCTCGGGCAGGATGATCGTGTCCCGCAGGTGCGTCTTTACCTCTGGCTTCTCCATGGGCAGTGCTTCCTTCTTAGCCTTACTCAGGCACTTCAGCAGCTAGCGCTGCTTTCTCTACAGGCCCCAGTTCAGCCAGCACCGCTGCCGGGCACTATACAGCTGCATCAGCTGCTCGTAAGACGTGCCAAGCAGCTGTTTGAGATCCACGCCCGGGTAGGTGAACTTGTGGAAGGTCTGCTTCTTCTTTTGATCCACTTCTGCCATCTTGTTGGACCACCCACTCTGCATCTTCAAGCTCAACTTTTAAAAAATCATCTTCAAAATATAGGTGAGACAGGAGTTGCCCAGAACTTCTTTCCCTTTTTCAAGACTAAGGCACTTATAAATAGGTTAAATGGAGTATTTCTATGTATTAGGGAGCCAACGTGATGAAAGAACAATTGGACTAAGAATCAGGAATAGTAAAATACTAATAACTCATGTTTTGAATTGATGTTATTTCTCATGCCTGTAATAATCACCTGTGACAATCCTCATNCTCATGTTTTGAATTGATGTTATTTCTCATGCCTGTAATAATCACCTGTGACAACCCTCATTTTAAACAGCTGAAAAAACTGAAGTACAGAGAGGTTATGTAATTTTTTTCAAGGTGTAAGTCATGGAATGGGGATTTTGAACTCAAGTCATGAATTTAACGGTAACTAAGGCAGCTTAATGACATGCTCGTCATTTTATCTGTTTTCTGTAAAGTGACTGCACAAATAATCTTCAATGTTAATTTCATATCTAACATTTGAAGTCCTTCCCACACTATGTAGTACACAGTTGACCCTTGAACAACATGGGTTTGAACTGCGTGGGTCCACTTATATGTGCATTTTTTTCTATAAATACCTTAAATGTATGTTCTTTATGGTTTTCTTAACATTTTCTTCTATTTTTTTTTTTTTNTTTCTATAAATACCTTAAATGTATGTTCTTTATGGTTTTCTTAACATTTTCTTCTATTTTTTTTTTGTGTGTGTGTGTGTCTTCATTTTATTGTAAGAATCTGGTATATAATACATATAACATGCAAAATATGTGTTAATTGTTATCTGTAAGGCTTCTGGTTAACAGTAGGCTATTAGTAAAGTTTTTGGAGAGTCAAAAGTTATATGTGGATTTTCAATTGCACGGGGATTGGCACCCCTAACCCCTGTGGTGGTCAAGGGTCAGTTGTAATTTACAATGATACACTTTCATTCTGAAGAGAAATAGATGGATCCTCTCAAACATGGATAGGCAGGAAACTCATGTGTAGGCCTTGTTTCTATTTCCCTTAAGTGTGTCAGACACCCATTAAGAAGCAGGACATGGCCCTGGCAGGTGTGGCTCAGTTGGTTGAGGTTCATCCCATTTGTGGAGAGGTCGCTGGCTGATTCCCTGTCTGGGTACATGCCTGGGTTACAGGCTTGATCCCCAGTAGGGGGCATGCAGGAGGCATCTGATTGATGTTTCTCTCCCTTTCCCTTCCTCTCTAAAATCAGTAAAAACGTTAAAAAAAGAAAAAAGCAGGACATGAATTCTGGTTTCTTTAAGGATCCCTATAAAAATTTGCCATTTACTAAACTTAGTTGATAAGCTTTAGCTTAGGAATGAAAGTATGAAGGTATTGCACATACATAGGAGACAGGATTTTTACCAGACTGTTGTGTTTAGTAGTGAAACAGAGCCTTAATAAAGGATGTGATGATTAAGGGATATAAATTAATTGTTATATCCCTTTCTCTATCCTCAAGGAAACAAATGATTTGGACTTATAAAATGTAAACTTATCCACTCTTCTGCTGCTGTCACCCATTTTCCTTCAATTAGCAGTATGAAGTCCCTAAAATAGCTGAGGCAGGAGGTTGTCCCTGAGTCAGTAGGCTTATCTCTGTAGAAGACCTCCTTTTGCCATTTTGGGTGGTAGGGGTGGAGAGAAAGCAGGGTTTATTATGTGGTCCCAGGAAATATACTATACCAACTTCTTTTATAAAGCCAGGTCAGCTTTAAATGAACCACGGTGTCCAAGTGCCTCTGGTTTGTTCCTCTATCCCTTTTAAAGAGCTGGAAAACTCAGTGTCCCCCTAGAAATATGGCAGAATGTTACAGAAGCTGTTATTAATGGGTTAACCAGTGTACGACCAGCAGTACATACAAGCTAAGCCACTTTTCATCTGTGCTTGCTAGAAGAGATGATCAATTTGGTGCTTCCGAATGCCAATCTTAATTGCTATTTTGGTGGGATGAAATAGCTAAACCTGCTTCTCTTAAAGCCTGACTACCAGATGTAAGCTTGATGTAGTTCTCAGCAAAGTGCATGAAAGAGCCTGCAGTTTGTTAGTTCTGAAAGACTGCTCATAATATCAGGATGAATGGTAATTTTGATGACCCTTTTGACATTATTGTGCTACAGATTTGTAGAGAACCCCATGAAGCTGAAAGCAATGAACTCAAACTTTCTGAAACTTTGATCCCTTGTGATACTGCTACTGGTGAGCTCTTCCCCATAAGCCTGGTTCTGAGACTTAAAGGAAGCAACGTTGCTGAGTGTTTTCTCTATATTTGTTGTATATACCAGACGCTTTTGCATGTTTTATTATTTAATCCTTACAAGAACTTTGTGAGCTGGATAAGTAATCCTTTAGGGGAAACAGACCGATTTGTCCAAAATTAGGATCTAAATTAAAATTTAGGTGTGATTCACCTAATTCCACTGCTCCTTCTATTAGACTCACTGCTTCTCCAGTCTTCTGTACCTCCATCAGGCTCCACAGGTGTACCCACTCTTTCATTCGTATACATTCATTCTGTTATTTCAGTGTCTTGTCCTTTTCAGCTATGTTCAGCTCTGTGTATGGACCTTTCTTTGCCAAAGGAAATCATGTTCATTGAAAAGCAAATTTTGTGCCTTTTGGATCAGTTAGAAAAGAGAAGGCAGAAATAAAGATTATATTTCCACAGGCTTTGTAAGAAACCCCCAATGCGACAAAAGCCTTGAAGTTCTAGGACATTGCCTGCTTAATTTTGGGAGGGCAGTTTTCTATAGCAGATTGCCAGTGTATTTTGAATACTAAATTTTTCAACTATATTGAAGTATATGAAGTATGTGAAACAGCACATATTTAAGTATAGTTGGAGCAGCTTTAACATATGTACACCTGTAAAACCATCATCACAATAAAGATAGCATGTTCATATCCCCAGAAACACTCTTTTTATGTATGTATATATATATTTATTTATTGATTTCAGAGAGAGGAAGGAAGAGGGAAACAGAGTTGAAACATCAATGATGAGAGAGTCGTCATTGATCAGCCGCCTCCTGTACGCCCCCAACTGGGGATCAAGCCCCCAACCCGGGCATGTGCCCCAACCGGGAATTGAAACGTCATCTCCTGGATCCCAGGTTGATGCTCAACCGCTGAGCTGCGCCCTGCCATCCTCCCCAGAAACTTTCTTATGTAAAACTTGATTTATTTTTTAACTTTTACACATTTGCTTATGTAAAAATTTCAAGTGGTAAAAATTTTAAGACTGAGTTGCCGTCTTATAGGAGTAAGGATTGAGGGATAAGGAGTTAGGCCTTTGAGTGCTTAGAAAGACACTTTCCTTTTTAACCTGAAAGACTGCGTGAGAGAGTGAAGTGTTACTAAATACTTGGCATTTTGCAAATCTATTTTTATTATTTGGCATGTAATTTAGTTTTATATCTGTACTTTTGTGAAGTATTTTGAAGCCTAATTAAAAACAGCTATAGAAAACAGTTGACTAAGGAAAATAGAACATCTGAGCTAATCATATAGATAGAAGAAAAATAAAAGCAACTTCGGGAAATTATGTATGAACCCAGAACAGAAGGTGGAGCCTTGGCAGCTTTCTTCATACTGGGGGTTCTTTCAGGGCTTCCTGACCTGGGGAGGTGAGGCCCTGGCAGTCATTTATCCTGATGGCCATCTGTCTCTACCAGGACTCCAGGTCTACAGTGGGTTTGCAAGGAGAAAGGAAAAAAATATGAGTGCGTCCTTCTACAGAGGATGTTTGGTGAGCAATGTAAGCAAGCCTGGCTAGAACTCCTTAGAGCTAGAAGAATTGCTAAATGAACTGCACCCTCAGTGGCCAGTGGGAGTGATTAAAACCTGTTTAAAATTGCAGATGCAAGCGTAGATGAAAGTGATTTGGAAAGGTAGACGAATCTCTACATTACCAACTTTTAGAGTGGTTCTTTCCCTTTGTGTTTAAACACAGGGTTTCTTTAAAGCAAAACTCCATCTTTTAACTATGCCCTGTGTTTCGCACATTCCTCACAAATATTGTAGATGAAACAATGACAGTAATATGTCCATTTTGTCACTACACAAGGTGTCCTTACAGCATTGAAGCTTCTCTTTGTCACCATTTTCTTCTGCCTTATCTTCCAGTTCTTTCTTTGACCTTTAGTTGATATCACTGGCAAATATGTTGTTGGACTGCATTTAGACTGTTGGTTTCTTGCTCCCTGTCATCCATGTTTGGTTTTTCATCCCTCTTGTATTGGTCCTCTGCCTTTTTTTTCTTTTACTTTTTCCCAGGCTCATTTTCTCCTTCCCATTGCCCATATCACTAACCTAAGAACCAAGCCCAGTAGTCGTATTCCTATGTTATACATTTTCTTCTTCAGTAATCAGATTATTTCACTTTGTCACCTACTGTCTTTGACCCTGGGCAAGTTACTTCTTTCTGCTTCAGTTGTCCCATTTACAAAACAAGTATAATAGGCTTACCTTAAAGACTATTGTGAGGATTAAATGTTGATGTATGTAAAGTGGTTAGAGCTGGAAAAAGTGGTTAGAGCTGGAACTAGTAAGTACGCCTTTTTTCCAGTTTTTCTTACATATCATTGTCTTGCATCACTGCATAAGTTTAGGTGTACAACATAATGATTTGACTTACACATATTGTGAAGTGATTACTGCAGTAAGTTTATTTAACACCCATGATCTCATATAGATACAGTAGAAGCACTTTTAAGTTTTTGCTTTTATATTTAAACTTGTACATTTGAAATTATTATTGTACAGACTGCTTTTCCCCTTTACCCAATACTATGCTTTTTCAGTTACCTGCAGATAATTCAAACATAGTATCTCACTGAACCTGGCACAGTTAAAAAACTAAGCAAAGATTCTTGTAATCCTAAATTCTCTGTTAATCTCGTTTTCTAGTTAGGTGATTCTTCTCTTTTTGCTTTCCATCATATATAACCTATCATTAGGTCCTGCCAGTTACCATTGATTCCCTCAGATCCATTTCTTCCATTGCTATAGTCAGGCAATTATTTTAGCAGGTTCCCCTGATTCTAGTCATTCATTCTCACTTCATACAAATTAGGGAATAATCTTCAGGCTTTATCTTGTTCATTAACATGACCCTCGTATCTGGAATATTGCTTGGCATATATATAATGGGCACTCAGTATTTGTTGGATATGACTTTTGTACCTGTATTAGCCACTTCTAGTAATTTCTTATAATACTATGTCTTTTAAACTCCTGAATTCCTCTATCGGGTTTTCACCTTTGCCACCTATGTAGTAATTTTAAAACAGATTCTATGTTCCATCTCAACAGAGCCACTTGCTATTCCCTACTTACCTTTTACTAATTCTTGTTTACATATCATTCTTATTTCTTAGCATGCCCTTTATTTACATACTGTGTCATCCCTGGAACACACTGTTTCTACAGAATTTCTGCTCCTTGGCTCTATCAACTCTAGTCACTTTTCTTTCCTTTTTTTTAATCCTCACCTGAGGATTTTTTTTTGGTCTTCATTGCTGTTTTTTTTGTTGTTTTTTTTTTTAATATATATCTTTATTGATTTCAGAGAGAGGAAAGGAGAGGGGGAGAGAGAGAGAGAGAGAGAAACATCAATAGGAGAGTCATTGATCGGCTGCAGCCCTCAACCCGCGCATGTGCCCTGACCAGGAATCGAATCCCGATTGCCTGGATCCTAGGTCGACGCTCAACCGCTGAGCCATGCCCAGCCGGGCTTCATTGCTTTTTAAAGAGAGTGGAAGGGAGGGAGAGAAACATAGATGTGAGAGAGACACATTGATTGATTGCCTCCCCTACAAGCCCCAACTGAGGCCAAAGATCAAGCCTGCAACTGATATATGTGCCATTGACCAGAATCAAACTTGAGACCCTCCAGTCTGCCAGCCGACGCTCTAACCACTGAGCAAACTGGCTAGGGCTCTAGTCACTTTTCTGCTGTATAATATCTTAACTGCTACGCTTGATTTTTTAGTATATCATTTTGTACTTAAATCTTTGGTAGGTATGTTGTATCTGCTCACCTTGATTATAAGCTCCTAGAGGTCAAGGACAGAACCTTCTTGTAACCTCTCCTCAGTGCCAGTGACATGCCCTGCACACTTCCAGGTGTTTAGTAAATGTTCTTGCAGTGATTCTGTGTGAGAATTGTTTTCTGGTGATCCTTTTGAAGTCCTAAAGAGGTTATATGATAGAGATCACCGTTAGCAGAGCAGTTTTTGTCTTTAATAAAGACAAAATGTTATGTGGTGGAGGATTGGGAGTATTTATTCAAAAGAGTCTGGGCCTACAGAGGAGTCATTCTGCTCTGATAGGAAGTTTTGGGGTATGTTTAGCTATGGACTATGTTGTAAGCACAGATTATATTTACTGATAGTTTATGGTCCTGATATTTAATTTGATATGTAATACTATAACCTAAAAATGTAAAATCAAATTAAATCATTTCACTTACTGTCTGGATTTTTCCCCTCTTTAGTTTTTACTTTAATCTAAAACTCTAGAATATATTTATAATTCAGTTTATAATTTGACAGGCAGAAGTAAGAAAAAGAGTAAATCAGAAAACTTTGTGTTAAATAAAATACAAGTTACTTTTCCTAAAAATATTGAAATATGGGGAGCTTCTGAGCAATACAGAGTCTAGATAGCTCATTTCCAGCATCACAGATTTGTGCTCTCTACCTGTTCTTCTTCCGTGGAGTTTTTATTCTTACACATTTGAAGTCTGAAAACTGAACCCTATTTGTTGGGCTTAAGGGCAGAAGAGAAAAGACTCAGCTTTTCATTGTGATGGAGGAGTGAGTATTCAGATCTAGGAAGAGTCAAAGTGCCTGTTAGATTCTACATGTGTTGAGGTTGGCATGCACTGCTGTTTTAGCATAGTACGAAAGGCTGCCATGATGCCTCTTGTCCTAGTTTCTAGGGAGCCTAAAAATGTAGGCTGTTTGACTGCTTTGGTTTGTAGTCCTGTTATTTTTATCTGTTGTGGTGCATGAAGATAGAGCAGTATGTGTGCAAACCTGGAAACCACTGTAGAGTTCAGTTTGATACTACCTCATTTTGCTGATTGAGAAAGATATTTCAGGTTAAAGAATTTTGCTCAAGGCTGTATAGCTAGTTAATAACAAGGCTGGGAACTTCGTCTTGGTTTCCTGATTCCAAAGGTTATGACTTGGAATGGTGCCTAAGAGAATGTTTTTCTAGCAGAACAATTATATAAATACATTCTTGTAACTATCAGGCTGATGTGACTGACCCTCCAATATCAGTGGGATATGTATCTGGAGGTATTCACTTAATAGAGGTGGTGGGTCTTTAGTGAACTCTTCATTTTCTCTTATTATTCTGATAGCCAGCCCATGTGAAAAACACTGGTAGATTTCTTTGCCTTAGAACTAGGCTATATAAAGTATATAAATAGTGAAGTTTGCTTAACTGACCATATCTCTGTTTATAAGTAACATTGGTATTGCAATGTGATGGTTACTAGTTACTGGTGTAGGGAACTGCTGGTGATTACAACTGTGCTTAGAGTATATCCATTTCTACAGTGTCATAGCAGTGTTCAGATTCATTAGTGAACAGCATAGGCTGAGCAATATCATTAAACAGAGGAAAAGGGACATACATGTGTGTTATGCTTGATGACTTAGCTCTCACCCCAGCTCATATTATGTAACTAGCTGTCAGACCTGATTGAACTCATGGTGGGTTGGTGACTGTTCCAGTGTCATTTCTGATGCTTTGTATTTTCAGCTTGTTGATAATGACTGCCGAGATCAGCTCATTAACTCATTTGTTCATTGATAACCATTTCTCAGTGTCCCACTCCCCATATTTATTAGATTGTGTTAAGTGCTTTGAATATGATAGATGTTTTTGTTTTTTATCCAAATTGAAAATCAGCTAACATTAATGTTTCAGTTTGAGCAAAGGACACATTATGAATAACCTTACAATAAAACATTTATTAAGTATGCTTTCAAGCTCCCCAGGGGAAGTCCTGGTAATTATAATGCAGTTTATGCTTTATAAAAAAAGTTAGTCATTAATACCTTCTTTTAAACTATAAATGCTTTTTTCCTCCTTCTAAGCCAGCTGGTTATAAACTTAATACCCTTTTTGTTCTTTTTAACGTGTAGCTTCTCTAACATTGACTAATTGGGGTTAATAAAACACCTCAGTCATTCCTGTGGTACTTGTGCTAATGAGATTCATGTATAAGCCATGAGCCAGTGGCATCTTGAGTTTGTGATCTCCTTGGACTGTAAGGGCCTAGGCACTAAGAAAACTGTTTTTTAGAACACTTGTGTTCTGGTGAATTAGGCTTAGAGATCATTTCTTTTACTTTTTTAAGGTAGCTGATTCTTAAAAAGATATCCTAATGTAATTTGAATCTCCCCTTAATTTGGTCTAAGCATTAATGATATTAATAAATTTGAATTTTGTGTGCTCTTTTCCTTTATCTTTTTAAAAAATGTTTTTATTGGTTTTAGAGAGGAAGGGAGAGGGAGAGAGAGAAACTTTGATCGGCTGCCTTCTGCACACTCCCTACTAGGGATCAAGCCTGCAACCCAGAGGTGTGCCCTGACCAGGAACTGAACTAGTGACCTTTTGGTGCATGGGATGACACTCAACTAACTAAGCCAGACAGACCAGGCCTCCTTTATCTTTTAATGAAAGTGTGAATTAGGTATGAAATAACTTGGAAGAGGTGAGGGTAAGGAGCTAGGGTCCTGGTTAATATAAAATTGGATAAACATTAAAATAATTGGTGGTGGGCCCTGATGATCATCGATGGTCAGTTGACAGTGGCTGACCTTATTTTAATATTTTTGTCTGCAATGGCAAACTAGCAAGAGATACTTGAGTATTTTGCAAGGCATAAACAAAAATGCATTCATTGAGATTAAACTCTTTTTCATATCTTCTTCCTGAAGGTGCACTTACAGAGTGCTATGATGAGCTGGGTAACAGATACCAGCTTCCAGTCTATTGCCTGGCACCACCTATCAACATGATAGAAGAAAAGAGCGACGTAGAGACTCTGGATATTCCTGAGCCACCTCCCAATTCTGGATATGAATGTCAGCTCCGTTTGCGCCTTTCCACTGGCAAAGACCTCAAACTTGTGGTCCGCAGCACAGACACAGTATACCACATGAAGAGGCGGCTCCATGCAGCAGAGGGAGTGGAACCGAGTAGTCAGCGGTGGTTCTTTTCTGGCAGACCTCTCACTGACAAAATGAAGTTGGAAGAGCTGAAGATCCCAAAGGACTATGTTGTACAGGTTATAATGAGCCAACCTTTGCAAAACCCAACACCAGTTGAGAACTGAGCTGGTCCTATTGGCTGGTCCCCAGATCCCTCCCGCTCCTTTTTATTGTTGTTTCCTACTCTATGGCGTGAAATTTATTTTCACTGCTCTGAATTCAGTGTAATGGATTTAGTTCTGAGGAATTATCAGTGAAAAATTCCATCTGTGATGGAGACCAACAAAAATAATAAAACACAAAGAGCTAGCCTTTGAGACTCATGTAATTACAATTTCTAATTTGAAGGGCAGTTAAGAAATAGCCATTTATTTTAAAACACCCAGCAACTATGTAATTGCAGTATTTAAATGATTTGGACTGTAAATAGAACATTGCACCCATGAAGAATATCACCAAGGACTTTGTGAATACAGAGTTTTTATAAAAATGAATCAAATATAATTTCCAGAAATCATCAATAACAGTTATAAGACTTGAGCTTCTTAAAATGGAAACTGGAAAGAGCAGTATCTGAGGTTCGCTTCTATTCTGGTCTTAGTTCTTTGCTCAATTAATATTTAGTCATAAAAGGATTAGAGACTGGCAAATCGTGTTTCAGTATTGCTTTCCTATCCCCATATGTTGAGCTCTTTACTTTCACACTAAATTTTGATGCCTTCCAGCACATTGGTGGCAGGCACTTCTGGAACACTAGGCAATAATTTACTCAGTGCAATCAGATCTGATTTTCAGCTGATACTCAGTGGAAAAGGCTCTTGCTCTCTTGTTGTATAGGCATTTTGAAATGTCTGTATAACGAAGCCGTGTTCCTACCTGGGCTTAGGTGGTCCATACTGTATCATACCTTAATTGCTCTCTCTACTCTGCTTGGGTCTCTGCAGAGCTAATTGTGCCCCAAATGCATGGATAGTGGGCCAGGGAATGCAAGGAACCAAGTACAGCTATTCCCTCTGCAGGGCAATGAAGTCATTCTCTCTTCTCCCCAATTTGCAGGAAGGGTGTAAGGAAACCCAGTTCATCTGTGCCTGGGAGAATTGTGCCTATTTTCAGTCTTTGAGAAGAAATTTCAACTCATAAATTACTAATATGAAAGATCTACTGATGTCACTTTAACATCAGCAATGAGACCAAATGGTGAAACATTGCTTTATACTTCAGTGCTTTCCAGTCACTGTTACCTTAGTTATGCTGGTTGACAATTTCCCTCTCATCTTTCCTAGCAAAGAGGCAAATTAAGAACCACCTGCACATTGGATTATAGAGAACTGAAAAATCCGGTGAGATAACCTGATTCTTTTGTACTGTGACTGGAATAAAGCTGCCAAGGATTATATTTAATTTGGAGCCTTTTCAAGGTTGGTTCCATTAGTGAGAGGGGGCTACCACATGATCACTGTACCCCTGAGAATCCATGAGATGGAAAATTAGAGGAAGAAGGCACTTAAGCTATATGCAGTTGGGAAATAAACCTCCACATCTATTTGGATGTGAAGCACCATTATTAATTCAATGGCAAAATGAAACTGCTAATTAGTTTAAAGGTAATGTTTAAAATGGTATTAAACTTCCTATAGCCTGTTAGATATAATAATATTTATAATTGTAACATTGTGTTTCTGAGAGCTTTAACTACTTCCCTTTTTAATGCGATTATTTGAACGGTTGTGGCTACATTTAATTTGGGTTTGCTAATAATTGAATCTAAATCTAAGAGGATACAGCAGCATTAATTCCAAAGGAGTTTTTTTTTATATATGGAGGTGGAGCTATGTGAAGGTCTTTGAGTACAGTGCCCCATTATCAAACAGTTTTTGTTCGTGTGCCACATTAAATAGCAACATCTCTCAAAGTCTGTTAATGGGGAAAAAATGTTCAAACCTATTTTTCTTAAGTAAATTTGGTGATATCAATAATCTATGATTGGTAGAAGGTCTTTTTTGTTTGTTGAGGATTTAAGCTCTCAAGAGTTTATTTTAAAGGAACATATACTTTGAATAACAAATTCTGGGCATGTTTAACTAACCTAGGTGAGAAAACCATGGTGCTGTTTAATTGTAAATAGATCAATATAAGATTGGACCAATACTTGATGTGTACAATTTTAGTATGTAGGGTTTTGTGCTTTTTTAAAAAAAGAAAAAGTTCAATTTTTCTGTCTTTGCCTTTTTTCTGTTTTTGGTTTTTTTTTTGTTTAATTTTAATTATTGTTACTCTCAACAGTAAGGGTAATCTGCCTCATTCTAATAAGCCTCTAAAAAGGTTTTCCTCCTTTTTAAAACATCAGCTCAATAAAGAAGTTTATTATCACCAGACTTAGGCTCTGCTATGCCAAACTATACATGGTCATTTATAGATATGCTTTATCTTTTGCATTGAAATCTTGGTCTAAAATAGGTTGTTTTTTTCTTTTAAGAATTGTGCTGTAAACCAAAACTCCTAATTCAGTTTTTCAGAAGCACTGAGCTCCATTTCATTTTGGATCAAAGTGGCAGGTGTTGATAAATTTTTATTTAAAATAGGTGATACATATGCATGGGGGGGGATTCAAACATACCAAAGTGAAAAGTCTGTTTTTCACTTCTGTTCCTCATCTCCTATTTCTTCTCCCAGGGAAATACCTATTACCAGTTTTCTGGGTGTCTTTAAAGATCCTCTAGCACAGCGGTTCTCAAACTTGAGCATGCATCAGAATCACCTGGAAGGCTTATTACAACACAGATTGCTGGACTCTTTCCCCCAGAGGCTCCAAGTTAGGTCTAAGTGGGGCCCAATAATTTGTATTTCTATAAGTTTCCAGGTGCTGCTGCTATAGGTCTGGGGATCCCAATATGAGAACTGTTCTGGTGTATATGTATATTCACCCACCTTACCCTGTTTTTCCCATAAATATATACATGACTTTACACCTTTGATTTTTCTTTAAAATAGTGACTATTAGGTTGTCCATATAAGTAGAGCTAGATCTGCTTCATTCCTCTTACAGCTGCAGTAGTGTTCCATTGTCTGGAATGCCACTCTTGATTCTGATCAGTGCGGCTGTTTAGTGCTGCCATGAAATGTCCTTCTTTTACACGATGCACACATCGTGTCTGTGTGCATCTATTAAATGCTCACCTGAAGAGGTTGAATTGCTAGATCAAAGATTATATACATTTAGGGAGTAGGTGCTGAATTGCCCTACATACAGATTTGACCAGTTTAATACTGAGCAGTTTAAGACTGCTCATATTTCCCGAAACCCTGACCAACCTTTTGGTCTTTGGCAATCTAAGAGAAAAACTGTGTCCTCTGGTTTTTAATTTGTGTTTTTTCTTTGAAGTTTAGCATTTTACTGTATATTTTAAGGCCACTTTTAAAGATATTTTAAGGTATTTTTTCCTGTGAATTCTCTGTTTGCCTGTTTCCTGGTGCATTTTGGTTTTCATCCTTCTGACTTACAAATATTCTTTCTATATTAATGAAATTAGTCCTATTTCATCATGTGTTACTACTTGTTTTTTGCTTCTATGTAATTTACTGTGTGCAAGTTTTAAGTTTTTCATGGTCAGGTCTATCAGTCTTGTGTTTTATGACTCCTGGGTTTTTGTAACTTCAAACAGTCTTGCCCACTCTGAGATTATAAAAAAAATTTTCTCATATATTTATTTTATGGCTTCATTATATGGAGTTTATTCTGGTTCAAGGAAGGGAGTAGCAATTCAGATTTACTTTTTTCTAGCTACCTATCCCACTTTTCCTGATACTAATTACTGAATAATTTTCATTTGTCTTTTTCCCATTGATGAAAAAAAAAATCACTTAATGACAGTTTTTAAGACTATACTTTTTCAATGGTCTTTTCTTGTTAATTGGACAAAATAGCAAAATATGCCTTGTGTCAACTTCCAACCCTCAAATGCTATGATTTAGTATTTTTACTTAAGGAAACAGAGAAAAGAGGAGTGCAGTGGATAACCTCCCTTGCTGTAGCCAGTCTCCCGTGATTTCTGTTCTGTGGCTCTGTAAGGGCTGCTGACATTGGTGATTGCCCATCTCAGCAGGTGTCCCCATAATTGATTTGACCTTTCCTAGTCTTTGTTTTTGGCACCAGGCATGTGATGATAATACATGAGAGCTAAGGACTAGCAGAAGAGAATTGATTTCACTTTGCTTAGTTAGCTTCCTCTAAAGTTCTTTCCTCTTTGTGGCTGATAGAGATTGTGGAGGATCCAGTCCCGTGGTCCTGGGCTGAAACTGGAGTAATCTCCTCAGTCAAGCCTTCCCATCACCTGCCCCTGCAACTGCTGCTCCTCTCCACCGATTTTCAGGCCCCTGAACAAGCTTGCTTTGTTGACCAAGGAATTCTAATGTAACTATGACATAATTATAGTGTTACTATCATCCATAGGGTGCTAAAGGTAGCTGGTCTAATAAGTTCTACCCTTAAAAGCACAGTGGATTTTAAGGAAATAATGAAACTTATTTTAAGTATACGGACAAACACATTTTAAAAAAATTTAAGTCACATAATGTAACTTAGAAAAAAAAGTCCCAACGTGAACACTGACAGACCTTCTTTGTTTGTACTCCTAGTCCCAAAAGAGTGTCACTTTACTAAAGGTGCCATTGAATTTTAGTTTTACACCAAGTTTCGGTTTGGGCCCATCAGAGGTAAATGCTCAGTTTCCTGAATGCCATTCAAGAACCCCAGTTTATGAAAATGCTCTTAAAAGGAATTGAACAGTAGGATCATAGTCCCCAATGTTTTCCAGGGAGGAGGGGGAAATTATACTACCTGCTCATGTCTGAGACTTCAGTTATTAAATTTAATATTAACTTATTTAAAATTAATTTGAAATAATTGAATAATGTAAATGTTTAAATTTTAGTTTACAATTTAGCCAAAATTAAAACCTACTAACCTATTAGCTTTGGCTACCCCTCTTTCCTCACTGGCCCCATTCTGAAACAATAAAAGGTATAGTATCTTCATTGCTTTAGAGACCATGTTGGAAAAAAACCATATGCTATGGTTACCTTTTATATATCTCAAGACTGTTCCCATTGGAAAATGGGAAAGAAACCTTCCTAAGACCTCATTGTAGCTTCTTCCAGAACTATGCCTACATCCCAAGGCTCTCAGTAGCAAAGCCATCTCAGCTGCCACAAAAGAGAAACCTGTTCCAAGGTAAGCTTAGTGGTGAGACTCTGAAACGATGACTCCCTGGAGCTTCCGTGTTCCAGGCAGACAGCACTAGTCTCTCAGTCCGGTACTCTGCAGGCGTAGTAGTCCTTGGGGAGGAACTGCAAACTTTTCACCAAGTTGGGGGAAGAGAAGGACACTGTTCTAAGTGAGGTGCTTGGCATCTTTTTGGTCTTCACAGCAGTTTCTTGAGGTACATACCATTATCCTCATGTGTAACCCAGGAATCAGAAGTCTAGTGACTTGGGGGCTTTTTGGTAGCTCCATTCAGTTTTTGTGGTTCCATTGTGGGGAAGAGGGAGACATTTTAGCTGCTAACCATTATTCATGGTCATAAGCATGTTATCAAAATCCCATGTCTTTTAGAGTAAATATAGAAAGTGCTCATAGTAATTAACATGATTTCTGTTACAACAGATTTGACTTCGGAATGGCAGTCTTAGATAAGCAGTATTCTTGGTTGTTGAACCTTGGCAAAATGATTTTTCATGATTATTCGACCCTCTGGAACTCACTGGATGCTTTACAGTCAGTTATATTGTATAACGTAGCCTTACGAAATCCTTTGTTTATAGTAAGTGAACTGTATTTCTTTACTCGCCAAGCTTGTTCCTCAGAAATTTATGGTAGAAGGAGATGTAATTTTTAGCATGATACAGAAGGAATTTCTGAGCCAGTGAGTTGCTAGCTTAAAACTTAAACAGAATGTGCTAAAACTGAAGTGAGTTACTTGGATCACTTGCTCTAAGCACAGGCATCTAATTGACCTTGAATTTGAATCCTGGTCCTACCACCAGTGAGCCATATCTTCTTGGGTAAGGTTCTTAATTTCTGTAGGTCTCAGTTTCCTCATCTGTAAATTGAGAGTGACACCTAATTCAGAGAATTATGAGAATATATAAATTCATGCATCTAAAACAACTGTCTGACCCATAGCAAGTACTTACAAAATGGTAGTTATCACCAACATCACAGTACAGTCAGGGAGGATTCATAAGTCCCGTGCTAAAAACGTTTAAAAATTATTCAAGGCATTAATTAAACAACAAAAAAAAACTTATAAAAGGGCATGTAATATTTGTTTTACCCTAGCAGATCTGATACATTGCTTAAGCACCTAATTGATCAGAGAGTAATTCACGGTCTAGGAAGAACACAGCCCCCATATCCTTAAAAGTCAGTTTCCCTTGTGGTTGGAGGCACTTCGCCATTTGCCGTTTTGAAGTGTCTTGCATGCAGGTAGTTTTAGCCTAAGGATTGGGAAACTAGAAAGGATTCTGAAAGTATTGGGCCACTAGTGACTAATACTGGGAAAGCATTGCCTTCTTTCAACTGCTTAGCTCCAGTAACTGTTGGTAATTATTTGAGTACACAGGGACCTAATGAACAGGGTTGATCTGAAAAGCAGCAGCAGACTTAGGACATGCGGATGGACAGAGAAAGTGGTTTCTTCACGTGACACTATTGTGAGTTGTATGTGAGGTCAGTAGGTTACCAAAGTTGAGAACCCGCTGTTTGAGGAGCACTCATTTGAACCCTTTATATATTAAAGTCAATGTAAAGATACCCACTTTGGTGCTCAAATTTATTTTTAAACATGTTAACAGTTGTAATTACTTATATTATACTTTCATTTATTCCAAGTAGACTCTCTCCTGGGTTCCCTAAGAAGGCTCTCCTGGGTCCTCTTAAACGACGTGTGACTTGCTGTTTTGGAGCAGAACCTCATTTTGCTTGTCCTTTTTCTCTGCTTTCTGCTTCTCCAGGTACTTGTCCATGGCGAAGATGGTAAACAGCTTAAATTCCTTGTAATTAAGACGCTTTTGTTGGGGGGAAAAAGAAAAAATATTTCAGGAAGGATTTGATACTTTGTTTCAGATGACAGGATTGTAATCATTTCTCATTTTAAAACTTGGAAACTTAAAGAGGCTCAGTAATTAGGACAAAATTATTGTCTGATTGTAACCTAGGAGCCAGAACAGAGTGTCTATTATAGACTCTGAAAGGAACGAAGGAAGGGTCACTTTCTTCTTTTATGTCAAGTCCAGACGCTTCAGGCTGGCACCTGAGGTTCAGACGGGATCTACCTTTCGCAGCCTTACCTCCCACTCGGTTCCCCAACATGGACTTCTCTCTATCCAGGCAGATTTCACCATCTTCACCATAGTCGTCTCATAGGATTTTGCTCTTGTGTTCCCATTGTAGAATTTCTTCTGCTTTCTCAAACCTATATGCCCTTCCCCAACACCAACTTCCACCATATTAATGTATATTCCTCTCTAAACTTCTAAGCAAAATTTCCTTTTCTAAGCAGCTGTAATTTTGCGTCCATACTCTATGATGTGGTACTTACTCAGTCCTCTCTTCCACAGGCCTATAAATCTCCAGTTTTTCTGATCCAGCACCATGACACGCTCGAGCAGGTTTTCCCACCCCCCATCCCCACCCGTCTCTACAGTAGGTAGTAAGGACATTGTCCACCTTATGATAGAAAGTCTGCCAGGCCACCCTTTAGGGATCTGCACTTACACAGTCACCTATGATGTCAAAGTCATGGTAGAACTCTCGGATTTCCTCTTCTTTAATATTGAAGAGGAATTTGTACATGTGGGAGTTCTCTGCACCAATTCTCAGCTCCCCATCCTTCTCAAGCAGCTCAAAAACAGGCCGGGAATGGCGGAAGACAAATTGCTCTTCCAAGTGGTTCTGTTTGGAGAGAAATGGGTCAGCCAAGAACCAGTGTTGTTGGTGCCGCTTCCTAAACTTGCTACATCAAGGCTCCTCCTCCAGTCCCTAGTCCATGCCCCTACAGAGCTAAAGACAAAAGGCAAAATCATAGCAGCTCGGTTGAAAGGGTTCTGTGGTCAGTGCTACAGGTCCTGCTCCATAATCTGCCTTCCAGGGGAACCGAGGCCGCCTGTAGTGTCAGTTCTGCTAGACAGAACTCATGTCACTAGGACACGGTTCTTCACCTTCAGTGAAAATGTACTTGTGGAGCATCTCGGCGCTGGTGGTAACGTAATGAAGGCACAGGTCTCTCTCCTCGTGGAGTGGGAAGTAGATAATGCACACTGGGAGTGTGTGCACAGTAGGGTGGGAACCCAAAGAAGAGCGTTTCTCATCTCCGTCATTCATCCCTCCAGAAAGTTCTCTGAGAAAGGGATCATTGAAGGGGTGCTTAGCTTGGAGTTACTGGCGATTCTGAGAATCTCCGAGGAGAACAGGCCAGGAAGGGCGTGCGGAGGAGGGGCAGTGTGGGAGGGCTGGAGGGGAGAGGCTGGGTGACTTGGGAGTCTCTAGGTTATTGACGGACCCCTTGGCAACCGGGAGTAGCTCTTCCCCACGTTTTTTCCGTCCTGTTTTAGTGAAGGGAAGAACATTTCTTGTGTGGTCCTAATTCAGTGCTGCCTTTAGCAAGATGGCGGCAGCCGCCAACCTAGGCCTCTGCCCCAGACCCTAGCCCCATGCTTGCCTGCTGTGCCAGCAATATGCAAACCAGCATGTAGAACTGGTCAAAACCAATCTCGCCCACAGCGTCCCAGTCCAGCATGTTGAACACACTCATGATCTGCCTCCGGTTCCAGTTAGTCACGTGATGAAGGAAGTGGTAGAACAGCACATCTGTTACGGGGGAGACGGGGAGATAGATTATTGAGAAACGGCTCCAAAAGGCTGAGGAACTGGGAGCCGCCTTGATGGTACCATGTTGGAAGCTTGTGACCTGGGAAAAGCAATGATACTATTTTGTTTCTGGCTTTGCCACTGAGCCTTAATTGCCCTTGAGCTGTGTAGAAAAGCATGCGCCCTGAGGGTGGAGAGGGCTCGGTTCCTGACCCCGGCTCACACACTCCGTGGGACAGGTGTGTATTGGTCAGCAGTAAAGGCACAGTGCTGCTCGTACACAGAAGGAAGAGCTGATTCTCACTGGGGACCTAGGACACTTGGAGACATGTCACCTGGGCCTTTCACTTGGGGAGATAATTAAAACAAGAGAAGTTAAAAAATTATTCCTCCTCTTTAAAAGCATCAGTATTCCTCGTGCTTATATTAAACCGAGGTATTTGTCTGTGAGAGAAGGGAACAGCTGCTGTCGAGCACCTTAGGTGCTAAGCGCTCAGAAGACCACATGTCACTGAACGCTGACAGCCCTACAGGGAAAGTGGCATCACACCCTTTTATAATGAGCCTTGGAGAGTCACTATTTCAGGGCTGCTGGAACAGTAGTAACACCGGCCACTAGAGGATCTTGTAAAAGCAGATTCTGATTCAGGAAGTCTGGCGTGGGACCCAGTCTGCATTTCTAACAAGCTCCCAGGCGATGTGGCTGCTGCTGACCACGTTTGGTGGCAGAGCTGGGATCTGGATGTGGTCCACCTGACTCCACAGCCTTGCTTGTTCCAGGGCGGAGACATCTTTCGTACGTTAATGCATATTCAGTCATATAATCAGAGGGAAAAAGCCTGTAGTTTAAAGACAGGGAAGCTTTGTGCTGCAATTCCACTCACTAATCGTCTGTCTCAGGGCGTATAAGATGAAAGGAACAAACGTGCTACATTTATACAGTGGTGTGTGGCTGTACAGATCATGTACACATACCGCTCATGGTAACGTAAGGGATTTTTCACATGTAACTGTCTACATGTGATTTCCCCGTGGCCACTGGTTACAGAGACTTTCTCCTGCAGAAGACGGCTCCATTAAACAGAGCATCTCTGGTTTGCAGTCCCAGTGGGAGCTTGCTAAGAACACAGTGAACAGTGTCACAATGTCCTGGTTTGGGCTTCTGATGGTCTCTTGATGTGTCTTTCCCACGCCTCAGCAGGTATGAGCACGTGGGAACAACACACCATATACATACACAGTAATGTTCGTGCAGTTGCTCCTTGAGAGATGTTTTAGTGTGGGACTTAGTAGCTTCTTAACAAACAGTTTTTTTTTGTTTGTTTGTTTGTTTTTAAAAAAATATATCTTTGTTGATTTCAGAGAGAGGAAGGAAGAGGGGGGGAGAGAGAGAGAGAGAGAGAGAGACATCAATGATGAGAGAGTCATTGATTGGCTGCAGCCCGAAACCCGGGCATGTGCCCTGACCAGGAATCGAACCCTGATCTCCTGTATCCTAGGTCGATGCTCAACCGCTGAGCCACACCCAGCCAGGCAACAAACACTTTTTTTAAACCAGCTGGCTCTGGCGCACTCAAGTCTCCAGGGCTTTAAGTCACACTACCTACGGGGAAGGCAACACTCAAGGCTGTGCCTTCACTCTTTCAGGTCACTATCCAATCCCTTGGCGACCAGAAGACATGAGCATGACTCCCTCTTGAGTATTGCATCATCAGGGAGGGAGGGAGTTACTAGGAGATCAGAGTCTTCTCAGCAAACATTCTGGTGGGTCTAAGAGTAGGCTTTGGAGTCCGAAAGCCATGGGTTTCAGTCCCGGGTTTTCTGTTTACAGCTGGGTGCCCTGCAGCTGCATTACCTAGGACTGGGTTATTGCGAAGATTTTGACATGCCGTGTGTAAATCTCTGCGTAGAGAGAAAAACAGGCATGAAATCATGAGGAAAATATCGTATTTTAAAGATTGAATGAACTCTTAAAAATCTTTATGAAAGAAACCACTTATTCACAAATGACAGTCACCTCTGTCAGGTCACAACAAATGGCTAGGATACCTTATTTATATCCAGTCCTAAAAAAAGCCTAAAGTATTTTAACTGGTCTTCTATTTGTTCATTCAAAGGCAGGGTCAAGATTGTCAGTACTTCTCGGTCACTCACAAATACCAAGAATTAGAAGGTCCCTTGTAGATCATCTGATTCAAACTCCCCATTTGGCAGATGAGAAGTCTTGCTGAGGGGGCTCAGCCCCCAGGAATAATGATGACAGTAAACACTTAAGTCCCTACCATGTGCTAAGCGTCTTCCATACATTGTCTCATTTAATTGTATCCCCCCCCTCCTATGAGATGGACTCCATTATTAGCATTCTCATTTACAGCTGAGGGAAGGGAGACTTACGGTGATGACATTCTCCAGATCACCGAGGAGAAATGGGTGGCGCAAGGATTTAAACCCGGAGCCTGCAGTTTTATCCTTACTGGACTGCCACCAGTCTGAGGTCTAAGTTGGTGACTACCTACACGGCGACAACCCAGAGGAGACGTTTCTGGAAGTACCTACCATTCAGGGTGTTGTTGCGGTGCACATCGAGGAGGTGGAAGTAGTCCACCAAGGCCTTCACATTTCTCAGGGACAGCAGGCAGTATAGTTTGTCCAGGTAGAGGTACCACAGGAACGACCCTGGCTTCAGTTTCATCTTGGGGCTCCCCAAGCCCACGGCTCCGGCAGCCTGAGAGGGAGCAGAACCCGGCCTCGGAACTAGAACGCTGGCTGCGAGCAGTTCTGGTAGAAGAGGGCTTCCTGGGTTACAACAGCGACGACGACGACGACAAAGGACACATAGGAAACAGTCGATAAAAAATGACTGCTATCTGGGGGATCACTCCGTAAGTTATATAAATGTCTAACCACCATGCTGTTCACCTGATACTAACATAACATTGAATGTCAACTGTAACTGAAAAAAAAAATTCCAATGGCTTCCCCCCAGCTCCCCAGCCTTCCCTTACCTCCTGCTCACTCGCTTATCCGCCGTCACCAAAGTACCACCAGTTCTAAACTGAAACCATAGACTGGAAACGAGAGCCACACATGTGGAAACATGTTACTCGGCCACAGCGATTCTCAGAGGAGTATTTATAGCCTAAATGTATTCATTAGAAAACAAAGAAATGAAAAGTATACAAAATGCTGAAAGAACTTAGAATAAGTAAGTAAAATAAAGCCAAAGAGAGAAGGACTTTTTTAAAGACCAAAACACAAGTAAGTGAACCAGAAAATGAAGCAGAAAACTTGGTTAGTATAATCAGGACCTTATTTTCTTTATGTTCTTTTTAATGGAAAATTCCCAACAAATCCCAAAGTAGATTAGTATAATAAACCCACCTGTAATCACCCAGCTTCGACAGTGATCAGCTTAGGGCTAATCTTGTTTCATCTGCACTCCACTCACCCACTATCATCATCATTTTGAAGCAAATCTCAGATAGGACTTCTCATTTGTAAACATTTGAATATATATTTCAAAAAGAGTGACTTTAAAAACCATAACCATATACTATTATAACTAAAACGACTACTTAATGTTATCAAAGTATCCAGTCAGCATGCAAATTTCCCTAATTGTTAAATTTTAAAAATATGGTTCACATACAATATTGTATTAGTTTCAGATGTAGAAGAGTGATTAGAAATTTATATACCTTTAAAATTTTTAAAAGATGAATTATTCAAGTCAGGACTCCAAACAGATCTGTTCTTTAGACCATTTCATAAGTATCTTGAGGTTCCCCTCAAGATTCTTTTTCTTGCAGTTGGTTGGAGAATCCAGATTGTCATGTAGAGGAAAACAGATCTTTGTAGATTTTATCTCCAATGTGTTAACATGTTCCTCTGTCTCCTCTATTTTCTATAAACTAGTAGTTAGATCTAGAACAAAAGCTGGTTTTAGGAAAAGATCAATAAGAACAGACGAATTTTTGGCCAGTGTGATGAGAAAAAAGATTTTAAAAATTAAGAATGAGAAAGGAAACTATCAGTAAGGAAGAGATTAAATACAGATAAGAATACTACATACAACTCTATACCAATAATTTGAAAATCTAAATTAGCTCTATCCAGCCTGGCTGGCAGGGCTCAGTGGTTAAGCAACGACCCATGACCCAGGAGATCGCTGTTCGATTCCCAGTCAGGGCACATGCCCGGGTTTTGGGCTTGATCCTCAGCAGTGGGTGTGCAGGAGGCAGCTGATCAATGACTCTCATTACTGATGTTTCTCTCTCTCCCTATCCCTCTCTCTGAAATCAATAAAAAACATTAAAATTTAAAAAATTTAAATTAGGTCTATCCAATAAATATATAACACAAGCCACAAATATATCACATATGTAATTTTAAATATTCTAGTAGGTACATTTAAAAAATAAAGTTAGTTATGATGTTATTTAATTCAATGTGTCCAAAATATTTCAATTTGTAATCAATATATTTTTAAAATCCTTTTACAATCCTTTTTACCAGCTTTACTGAGATACGATTGACATATTGTGTAGGCTTAAGGTGTACCGTGTGATCATTTGACATAGGTACATACTGTGAAATGATTACCACAATAAGGTTATGAACACATCCATCACCTCACATAGCTACCATTTATTTGTTTGTGGTGAGAACTTTCCAGGTCTATTCTTTTACCAACTTTCAAGTAAACAATCCAGCATTGTTAAGTGTAGTCACTGTGCTGTACATTAGATGCCCAGAACTTGACAAAAGAAAGCCTATGAGTACAGTGACTGCCCCTCCCCCTGGAAACCAATCTCCTCTCTGAGATGTGGTTTTTTTAGATTCCACAGGTAAGTGAAATTATACAATCCTTTTTAATACTAACTCTGAAACCCAGTGCGTATTTTATACCTTCAGCACATCTCCGTTTGGGCCAGCTACATCGGAGTGCTTAATAGCCACATCCGGCGGGTGGCTGCCATATTGTACAGCACAGCCTTAGATAAATAGAATAATTGTTTTAGGAAAATTGACATCTGAAGGAGTTAAAAATGTGAATCAATCCATAACCATAACCATAACCATAAAGTAATCAATGATGAAGTGCTAGGAGAAGATCCCTGGCTCAGGTGGTTTTATGGGGGAGGTTTCTCAGCACCATTAAGGAACCAGTCATTTCTACCTAAACTGTGCAACGCAGTTCTGCTTTAGTAACACCATAGGCTGTGTTAAGTGGATAAACTTCCTAACACCGATTTTAGGGATAAAATCATTGCAGCTCTGAAGAGCCAAATTAGGAATGAGGCGGGAACCTACAGGAGTAACTTTGGTTTTCCTTGAGGGTTGGGGAACAAAAGAAAGCCTATGAGTAGAGCGACTACCAGAGGGAAAGGGGGTGGGGGAGGCAGAAGATACAGGGGGGATGGATGGTGATGGAGGGGGACTTGGGGTGGTGAGCACACAGTACAATATACAGATGATGTGTTACGGAATTGTACATCTGAAGCCGATATAATTTTATTAACCAATATCACCCCATTAAATTCAATAAAAAGGTAAAAAAGATTTGAGAGCTGCTCCATACTCACTTTCAAGTTACTTTTCAAAATGGTCACGCTTCTTTTTATTCATATTAATAAAGTATGAGCCTGGCACTGAGCATTATCATTAAAAAAGAGAGAAAAAGAAGGAAAAGAGCGGGCCCAGGGAAAGCGAGAGTCTGGAAAGCGCACCAGGTGAGGAGCTGCGTGCGGACACAGCGGGTAACGCGCAGCGGGGCGAGTCAAACTCCAGCATCGCGGATGGTGGGCAGAGACGGCTTTCCTTTTATCTGCAACGAGCTCATTTTATTTAAATTGGGAAACTAAGAACCAGAAGCTTTTAATTTAATGCGCAAACGCGTCTCAATATCCATCTGGCAGCCCGCGGTGAGTCCCAAAGGGGCTCTTTCTCCCACGCCCCCGACGCCGGCGGGCGCTGGATCCCTGGGCCTGGGAAGCAGGGAACTACCGGGGGCGCCGGGGCCTCG